GGTCGAGGAAATTTATACTTTACATAGGTTCTCAACTTGTAATGGTTCTTTATGATTAAATAAATAAACGACACCAATCTGATTGCGGGATTAAAAAAAAAAAAAAAAAAAAAACTAATTGTTTATTACTATCCACTTCTTTTATTACCTAATTTCTTTTCGCAAGTTCTTCAATCACTAAATTCTTTATCACAATCCCTCCTTTGTTATCCAACTTTCTGTGCCTTTATGAAGATCGATCACGTGATATAAGTTGTGTCACTTTTTTTTTGTCCCTGATATCAAACAAAAAAAATGACGATCTATGGAACGCATTGTTGAATTAGTTTTTGTGTAATAAAATAAATTTAAATATGGGTTAATTTTTGTTGTCCTAAAAATTGTGTGACTCGTCTGTACGTAGACATAAAAACACAAACAACCTATATTAATCCTGAATGAACGTAAAACATTAGCATCGAATAATTCAATTTCAGAATTAGTAAGACGTATTTGGTTGGTTGTGAAACATACAATAACATGACAGAAGCTCCAAACGACGGATTTTTTTTTGTTGCAATACGTTTGCGTTAATTTTATCCTTTTATGAGATGAGACTATAATTAAACGGCGTTATAAAATTTTAAATTACATAGTATTATATGCAAACTTTAACCAAATACAATATCTGAAAAATACTGTAGATGTTAATAAGCGGCGCATAGTCATGTTAATTAGGTGAGAGACACGTTTTTTTTTTTTTTTTGAACCGAAATACAGTCAGTACACAGAATAAAGAATAATACAGTAGTAATAGACAATGATCTACAAGGCTTAACAATAAACAAAATAAATGCTAGCAACATTGCACAACTACTTAAGAATCAAAACTATATTATTTTGTGGAAAATATTGTAAATCATGGTCACATCAATCATTACATGTTTATACGCTAACAACTTGATTCTCAAAAAAAGCGTTTGATTTTCAAGATTACTGCGAGTTTACTGTGACTGGCATCAAAGTAAAGCGCATACGCAGTGCGTATACAGTAGTACATTGCACATTTATTTAAGCACTAATAAGGTAGATCTGTATTTTAGAGCCAATGTACGATAAATTAATTCTGTAGCAACTGACGCATAACCGAACTCTTTTACCGTGTTAAGATATGCGAGACCTAAACTATAACACATAGGTATTAAAATATGATAACACGGTTTGATATATTTATCCTTGCAACCATGGAAAATTACATTTAAAGAAAAATGTTATAACTTTATTTATTGTTATACAATATATCAGCATATAGACAAAAAAAAATACAGAAGCCCCCTGTTTTATTAATATGTTAACTTTATTACTATTTAAATTATGAACAAATGATATCATAATTGATATGTAGTTTGTTATTATTCGTTTACTTTGAATCCCGTTGAATAGCAATTACTTCTATTTATAAATTTAATTTGACATCACGGTAAATAAATAATTATTCATGTGACTCATTGTAAACACATAAACAGTTAGAAAAGAGTACCAACTCTGTCTTTTACTTAGATACTACCCAAGTTTTCGTTTTTTTAAAACGTATAACAGTTATGCCTGAAGATTATGATAATTGCAAGGAATGTAATAAACCCAATACCGGAGAGGATTGGTGTCATTCATGCAACTCTAAACACTTTGAACAAGAATTCAAAAATTGGACGAGTGGTGATGAAAGGGTTGACGAACTCCTAAGAAATACTCAGCGTAATGCGAAGCAGTTTAGGCAAGTGATGGAATGGATACCTCCCGAAAATCTTGGGAATATCGAATATCGCGCGAAGGGAGGCTATGGAGAAGTTTACGAAGGATTTTTAACTAAGGGCTATATTTATAAGTGGAATGTTGAAGAAAAGAAGTGGGATAGAAAAGGAGAAAAAAAAGTTGCTTTAAAAAAATCAAATTCCGAACAAACTAATGAAGAATTTTTTGAAGAGGTAATATAATCATACCATTTTCTATGCAATAACAATTATTTACAGTACCGTATATTAAAGCTTAAATCCTTAGGCTAAGCGTCACAACGAATTTTATATTGACGATCACTCCCTTATGCGATGTTACGGAATAACGAAGGATCCCACATCAAATAAGTTTATGATAGTAACAACGTTTGCTGAACTTGGCACACTTAGTGAATACTTGAAAAACCATTTCGGGCGTCTCATATGGGCATGGAAGTTTAAAATACTAAGTTCTATTGCAAAGGGCATCAGACATATCCATGAAAATAATTATAAGCATAAAGACCTTCATGGAAAAAATATTGTGATGTATGAAGAATATTATCCGCTCATTATTGATTTTGGAAAGTGTGAACTTGTGAATGAGAAGGAGAATGATAAGGTATATGGTGTTGTTCCATATTTGGCACCGGAAGTCTTAAAGGGTAATAATTATAGGCAATCATCTGATATATATTCGCTTGGAATTATAATTAATGAAGTGGCCTCGGAACTAAGTCCGTTTGAGGAATATTCTCATTATAGTAGTAAAAGCCTGGCTATAAAAATAATTTCGGGCACTCGACCTAAAATTTCAGAAAAAATACCAGATTATATTAAAAAACTTATTAAAAAATGCTGGGTTGAAAATCCCGATGATAGGCCCTCGGCACAAGATTTATACGAAGATCTTTATAAATTAAGAGAATCCCTCGAAAATGGAAAATTTAATAATTATGATGATAACGGAGATGATTTTAGTAAATGCATAAATGAATGTATCGACTATGATAATAAGATTAAGAGCTTATCAAAGAACGCGAACCCAAGCTCTACAGATGGTATGAGTTGCAAAATCGAAATTGTTAATATTGGATTAAGCTTTTTACTAACCTTTTATACCAGATTCCGGACAAGAATCTAAACCTTACTCAGTGGATAAGGAGTCAGTAATGTTAACGGGTAAGGAATCATTGATGATTAAATTTGATCAAATGTACGCAAATTTATTTTTTTTTTTAAACAAGATTCGCGGCAGCAGTATTTATATATTTCCGATTATTTTGACACCACAAAGATGACGTTAAACCAACAAGGTAGGAGACCTAAAATAAAATTTCCTGACATACAATTTGATCCATGCTATTCTAACATACCTATGATAATTCAGAAGGATTAAATCTGGATAACGGCAAAAAAATGATAGATACCGAAGAATCTAAGCCAAGTGCGTAGTTTATAAGTACATCTGGAAATCTCTAGTGATGTGTATGTATTGGAATTATAAACTAATTTGGTTTTTATACTGTAATATGAATGAATAGGAAACAAGAAATGTAGATACTTACTGAATAAATTGAAGAGAAAATTTGGTGCATAAAAAAATTAGCGAGTATATTCCCCTGTTACTATGCACTATTTCGAATCAAAAAAAAATACTCGACATATTTCTGCCATGTTATTATTATCACCTTATCATTATTCATCATTATCATCATTTTATTATTAATATAAAGCATTCTTCGAAATATGAATGGTTTAACAATCAAATGATAAACCAAGCCCTTTGTTCACTAAATGTTTTTACAAATCGTTTAAAATTATTGTATGTGTACTTGCATATTGTATATACTAAATTGTAAAGGAAAATCGGTGACTTGATCTCGTAAGTCGCAGTATAATATGTCAATAGATTCTACAAAATTAATTCAAAATGGCTTCTTTTATCTGGTAAATAACATGATCAAAGAGCAAAATAAATTTATTATTTGGAAATTATCTATAAATAACATATGGTTTATGGTAGATTTTTTATTCTCAATACAAATCAATATTTTTTTGCAAGGCAAAATAAATATAAATTACTATAATTAATTAATGGTAACCTTTGTAGCATTGATATTTTTATTTTTTTTATTTTTTTTTTGGGAGGGGGGGTTTCCCCGTAGGTAAACATATAATATTTATCAAAGCATCTCTATATCCAAACAACGGAAACAAACCATCATTGCTCTAATTCCAAAAAAGGTAATTGAAATCATAAATTGTCTGACATCAGACCTATCTCTCTTGTTGACTGTGTTTTAATCAGATTCTTCTTATTGTTAACTGTATGTTTTAATCAGATCCTTCTTATTGTTGAATGCGTGCACAGTATTGAATTTTTTAAAAAACTGGTAATCAACAAGAGTAGGTTTATATTTAGACTTATTTCAATATGATTAATGACTTCATAAAAGCCATAAGAGTTAAACAAAGATTTGATTGCCGATTATATTTTATTTTAAAGTAGTTATAATGTTTAGTAAAAAAAAACAAACCAGAATATTCAAAACATTTAATTACATATAAAAATTGTAAAATAATTATTTTGTCAATTAAAATTATAAATATTTACAAGAATATAATTGATTTGAAATCTTATATTTAAATGAAATAAATCAGCTAAAAATATTGTGAATAGGAATTATACATTTGCATCTAAGCCGATAAAATTCAGTATTCCATAATTCAACATTCACATCATTTTTGGATCAAAGTAGAACTTAAATATTTATTAAATTAACAATTTAAATTATTAAATAAAAGCCAAATTGTATTTTGCCATATTATTTAATAAGTTGACCAATGAGTAAAGAAAAATTGAACCTGTTTTGGGTATAAATCGACACTTCCATTATAATTCACAAATCAAGTTAAAACAAATAAATCTTTTATATTGTTACACTTGATCTTCGCCCAAGATCATCACTACCCCTTGTCCGATTTCCACTAGCATTTACCCTTGAA